CAGTGCGATTGGCACAGGACAGAGCAGAGTTTAGGGCTGTTGTACATAGGGTCGCTATGAGTCGCAGGCGACTCGACGGCACATAACAACAACAACATAGTAATAATTCACCTTTCAGAAATATTACAAATAACAGTCTAAAGATATAACCTTTCCACATAAAGTTTCAGTATTCAAATAAAGAAAACAAATTTTCACAAAAACATGTCCAAATAGATTCAATAGGATAATGTGCTACCAATGAGAATTCTGAAGATTATTTAAGGTTGTCTTGTTACTTTCAGTATGTAGGGCAATAACCTCACGGCTGCTCAAAAGCTACTGAGTTATATGAGAATGTTTTCACAGCTTGAGATATAATGCTTTTGATGTTTCTCCTTTATCATTCTGTCTTTATGTCTCCTCTTCAGTGACAGATATCAATTCTTGAATATAAAAATGGCAAAATTATAAACCAAAATTTTCTGTATCAAACTGCAGTATCATTTGGTCTTTACCTATTTCTATACAATGACATTAATTTTCCTACATTCAGAAAGCATGGTCTGCTTCTCTTCTGATCAAAGCTGTATTCTGAAATCTAGACATGAGTAAGTCGCTTCACCCACACATTTCTACAATCAAATGATGAATATGGAGCTGTTCTTTGGTGCTGTCAAATAAGACTCACAGCAATACAATAAACGATGGATCTGAACTCTGTCCTATCCTGTTCAAACTTCATGATCTCCAAAACACTTAAGTCATATTAAGGGTCTCCCTCTCCTTCACTGACCCTCCACCTTTCTTAGTATGATGTCCCTTTCCATGGAATATCCTCTACTGGAAAAACGCTCAAAGTATGTGAAATGAAGCTTCATCATCTTTGTCTCCAAGGAGTACTATAGTTGCACTTTTCCCAAGAAATACCTGTTGCTTCTTTTGGCAGTCCATGGGATATTCAGTGCTCTTCTCAAACAGCATAACTCAAAGGCATGAATCCTTCAGTCCTTGCGGTACTGCCGCAGGCTCGCACCCGGGCCTCACACCTCCTTCCCCAGGAGCACAGCGGCGGCAGTGGCAGCGGTGGCGGCAGCCTCTGCGGGTCCCCCCAGCAACCCGCTCCCTGCTTCCTCCTTTGCTCTGCTCCGGAATCACGAGAAGCTCCTTCTGTCTTCTTAACTCATTGTCCAGCTCTCAGAAGCACAGCAGTTCATTGAGAAGACTATTGCCTAAATCAAGTGTACCATAATCTTGAAACTTACATCACTGCTCCATAGGAATTTGGAGAGGCCCCTCACAACATTCTCACTGCAATATGTCTCCTAATAGCGTGTACCAAGTATGTTGGCTGTTGCTCCAAGTAAGATGAGATTGTTGACAATCTTCCTCCATCTACCATGATGCCGTTTATTGGCTGTGTGATGAGAACTTTTGTCTTCTTGATGTTGAGATGTAATCCATATTGAAGGCTGTAGTCCTTGATCTTCTGCAGAAAGTATTTCAGGACTTTCTCACTATCAGCAAGCAAGGCTGTGCTATCTGCATAATGCAGATTGTTCATAAATCTTGCTCCTGTCCTGATGTCACATTTCCTTCAAAGAGCCTAGATTCTCAAATGATTTGGTCAGCATACATACTGATTAGGTATGGAGAAAGGATGCAACCTGGACACAAATCATTCCTCAATGTAAAAGATGCAGTGTTTCCTTGCTCCATTTAGACAAAAGTTTCTTAATCTAGATATGGGTTTCATATGGGCACAATTAAGGTTTGTTGAAACACACAACCAGATACTCTTGCAAAGTCAATAAAACTTAAAAAGACATTCCTCTTGTATTCTTTGCTGTCAGTCAAGATCCATCTGGCAACAACAATGATATCCTTTGTGCCACAGCCACTTCTAAACCCAGCCTGAAATTCTGGCAGTTCTCTGTATTGTTCTAGTTGTTTTCCTACAATTTCCAGCAATATTTTGTTTGCATATGATATTAATGATATTGTCTGATAATTTTCACATTCAGTTGGATTATCTTCTTGAAAATGGGAACAACTATGGATCTCTTCCAGTCAGTCAGTCGGTCAGTCACTTAGGTAGTTGTACTCCAAATATCCTGGCTGGTGATACACAACCAGACTGGTGAGCACAACCAGAGCTGTTCTGTTATTTCAAATGTATCAGCTGGTATTCCATCAATTCATGGGTCTTACTTTTTTGCCATCCCTCAGTGTTGCTTGAATTTCTTCTTTCACTACCACTGGCTCTTGTTCATGGTACTTCTTGAAATTTTTCAATGTCAACAAATTCTTTTTGGTAGAGTAATTCTGTATATTCCTTTCATCTCCTTTTGATATTTCCTGGATTATTAAATATTTTTGCCATAGCATATCTCAGTACTAGAACTTGAGGCTTAAATTTGTTTTTCAGGTCCTCAAACTTTAGAAATGCTGACCAATTTCTTCTCATGTTATTTTCCAGCTCTAGTTCTTTGCAGGCTATGTTATAATATTTTGCTTTGTCTTCTTATGCTGTCCTTTGAAATCTTCTGTTCATCATTTTACTGTGGCATTATGTTCCTTTGTTGTGGCTTCTGGAGAAATTGTCGGTCTCTACTGCGAACTGTCAATCTCTTTGATATCCATTTGGTCTTATTTTCCCCTTTTGTCTTTGCATTGACATTATACTCTTTTTATGGATGACATGTTTATTTCATTCCATAACTCAACTGGTTGATCATTAGTTTTCAATGCCTCAAACATATTCTATAGATTATTTTAAATTCAGGTAGGATAGATTCAAGATTATATTTTTGTTCTTATGGATGTGTTTTCATTTTATCCAGCTTTAATTTCAGTACATATTGAGTAGTGCTAGAAAACAGAAGTGTTTGTCATCTTTAATGTCCATTAACTTAATTTAACAGGTTGTATGGGTATGACAACAATGTCGAACCAAGACTCTAAATGATAAAGTAACCCAGAGAATAACAGAATAAAAAAGTATAAGCCAAAAAATAAAAAAAAAGAAGTATAAGCCCAAGGAAAACCATTAAAAGCATACACATTTAATAGTTGCATATTTGAAAGGGCTAATCATTAAATAACTGATGTAGGTTTATAAGATGCAATGTTCAAAACGTATTA